GCCGCCCACCCCCCAAAAATCTCATTCTCAGGTGCTTCATCTATATTGTCTCTTTCACAAGACTGACTACGTGTATGTGGATAATACAACCAAAAATAAAAAATAAAAATTATCTCAAAATAATTATCTATTTCGTTACATTATTTTACTTTAATAAAAATAAATAATTTGGGATAATAAATTGAGAATTGAAACACGAAATTGAAAGGTAAAACTAAAAAGTCAAAAAGGTCATCATAATCCCCATTATAATATGAAATCCACGTTAAATATTAAGTTGTGAAGCTTTCTTGATCATGATCTATGTTTACTTTATCCACACATAAATTCGAAGTTTGTGCAAGTGTAAAAGTAAAGGAGATTTTACAACGAACAGATGGGCTTCTTAGAAAAGTAAAAGTTTGAATCTAAACGTCACATATGCCTCATCGGCCAATCTGAAAAGATCGACGTACTCTGGAGCAACACCTAGCTAAGCTACGGACAAAGACCTCTTGGAAGATGCATTGATCTTAGGTTTTAGAATATTGTGTCGGATTAATTTTGCTGTTTGTGATAAAGAAAATGTTCCACTTTATTATGTCAAAAATGGGATTGACTTTAACTTGTAAGATTATATATTATGTCTCTAAAATTCAATTGACTTCCAAAGCAATTTTTGACGTTTTTGCATTCATTTCAGTTTTGCTGAAGAGTTTGTTTCCATGGCTACTTCCAAATTCATCACTTCTTGTTTCCTTGTCTCTGCTTCACTGCTTTCATTTGCAAATGCTCTTTCGTTTCAAATAACTCGTTTCAGTCCAACCTCAACCGACATTCTTTACCGTGGAGATGCCGTACCTTTAACCGGAGTCGGAGTGATTAATTTCACCAATAATGAGTATTGTTGCCGGGTTGGTCAAGCCATTTATTCCCAACCAATTCCGATATGGGATTCACACAGTGGGAAATCAGCTAATTTTTCTACTCATTTCTCCTTCTTAATCGACACAAAAGGTGCTCAACATGGTAATTATGGTTACGGGTTAGTTTTATTCCTTGCCCCGGTTGACTTCCGAACTCCCCTGAATTCAGCTGCTGGTTTTTTGGGTTTGTATAATACGACCAATACCGATACTTCCCAGAATCAAATTGTATCTGTTGAGTTTGATTCCTTTGTGAATACAGAATGGGATCCTGGTTATGAGCATGTTGGTATCAATGTTAATTCAATTGCTTCTAAAGTAACAGCTCCTTGGAATGCTAGCTTGCATAGTTCAGAAGCTGCTGATGTTTTGATTGTTTACAGTTCTTCCGACAAGAATCTCAGCGTTTATTGGAGTTATAAGTCAAGCCCGAATTCCAGTCTTTCTTATCAGGTGGACCTGAAGGAGATTCTTCCTCAATGGGTTATGGTTGGTTTCTCTGCTACCACAGGTCGGTTTGTTGAGAATCATTATCTTTATTCGTGGGATTTAACTTCAGATTTAGACATGGAGCTTTCTAGTTCAGGGAAAACGAGGAATACCGGTTTGATTGTGGGCGTATCAGGAGCTGGATTAGTTGTGATTTTGGGTGGTCTGATTGGATTTATTGTTCTAAAGAAGTCTAGAAAGCGCAGAAACAGGGAGATGGCTTTCTGGGCTTCATCTATCGGTGATGATTTGGAAAGAGGTGCAGGGCCGAAGATTTTCCACTTCAGAGAACTTGTTTTGGCGACTAATAATTTCTCCAGGGAAAGGAAGTTGGGAGAAGGAGGAAGTGGAGCTGTCTTCAAAGGCGATCTTCTGGATATGAATATTTCTGTAGCTGTTAAGAAGTTCTCCAAGGGTTCGAAGCAGGGGAAGAAACAGTTCATTACTGAAGTTAAGATCATCAGCAGTTTACGACACCGGAATCTAGTCCAGCTGATTGGATGGTGCCATGATGACGGTGAGTTCTTGCTTGTGTATGAATACATGCCAAATGGTAGTCTTGATTCTCATCTCTTTGGCAAGAGACATCCTCTTGGATGGAGTTTGAGATACAAAATCGCAATGGGTTTAGCCTCAGCTCTACTCTATCTTCATGAAGGATGGGAACAATGTGTTGTGCATAGGGACATCAAATCGAGCAACATAATGCTGGATTCCGGTTTCAATGTCAAGCTCGGCGATTTTGGACTCGCCCGGTTCATGGATCATGAATTAGGCCCCAAGACCACGGGGTTAGCCGGGACATTCGGGTACTTGGCTCCCGAATACATAAGCACAGGCAGGGCTAGTAAGGAATCCGACGTCTACAGTTTTGGTGTCGTCGCCTTGGAGATTGTTAGTGGGAGGAAGTCGATAGATCGGATTCAAGAGGGCGAAGAGAATGAAATAGGGCTGTTGGAATATGTATGGGAATTGTATGGAATGGGAAAACTTGAATCAGTTGTGGATGAGAGATTGAAAGGTGAATTTGATCTCAAACAAGTGGAGTGTTTGTTGATAGTAGGGCTATGGTGCGCTTATCCAAATCCTACCCTGAGACCATCCATAAGGCAAGCAATTCAAGTGCTTAATTTTGAAGCATCACTTCCTAAGCTTCCAGCCAGAATGCCTGTGCCAACTTATGAAGCACCGGCTTCTGCTGAGAGTTCCTCTTCAAAGCCTTTAATAACTTACAGTAGCATTGATGTTGGTCGTTGATAAAACGATGAAGAATCTCATTAACAGGCTCGTTGTCATAATCATTGTATTGATTAGTTGTTGTCGATATTATGTTTAGACGTACGAGTTCTTACCAGAGCAAAAAATAACATCCAGAGCGACACTGTAGTTGGTCTTGGTTGAATCTTTATCTTTCCTCTTTGTGATCCAGATGTTAAATTCAAGATACAGCATGAAACCAATTACCTTGTTCATTTAGCTCAATCTACCTTAGTGGTCAAATTATAACGAATCTTAAATTATGGGACACATTCAATAAATTTGTTTGAATTTGACAAGTTCAGCGCCTTGAACCAGAAGTTTTTGATGATGGATCTTGCTTACTGAGAACGCTAGAAAAAGTACAGACTGGAGGGGTCAAACAACTCATTTTAAATCATCATCTTCCTCACCTCAATGGCTTCAAATTCTTGAGTACGTTTTGGGCAAGCTTTTTCATTCGTTTTTTTTTTTTTTTAAATGACACCTCCGTATATCCAACTCCTCAAATAAATAAAGCAACTTTTCAAGCATGGCAGCTTAATTCTGTTCTGTTAAGAATTAAGCATGAATTTATAACCAATTTCAACGGTGTGCATCCTGTGTATTGTCCGTGAATTTCTACGTATGTAACTATCATAAAGTGATTAGTTCCCCTGAATTATGAGATGTCGTGTATCTAGTTCCAGAAAGAAGCCTTTAATATACATAGTACCATTTCCATTCCCAACGATAGGGACTTAATTAGTTCACCTGCGGAAGTGTCGCATTCACTGTTTTGATTCAATGCAATGCGCGATATTTTAACAAAACTAGAGGCTAAAAATGAGAGACATTGGCAATCTATAGTATCGAATGGAGGGATCCAACATCATAAAGTTCTATGAATATCATCAAATATGTACGGCATTCAATTGGACCGCCTAACCACCGAAAACCATTACTTGCAAACAAGAAGGAATGTTGTACATTCTATCAGAGAATCAATCAATCATGGCGTACTTCTTGTTGGAGAGTTTGGTTCACACACTGGTCATCAGCATTATAATGACAGGAACATTCTTCAAAGAAACAGGTGAAATATACTGCCCAACTAATAAGGAAGCACTTGCTCTTAAAATTATAATCACAAAACTGAGCATCATTAGCCTTGTGCATAACCATCACATAATTGCAGCGGTAATCAAGATTTTTTTTGAAACGGTGTGGTAATCAAGATAGTTGCCCAGCAATCTTGCATGCCATCTTCAATAATAAGAGAAATTAATTTGCATTATACATTAGTGTACGTGCAACCCAAGCTGCATCACGATTTTTCTATACTGAACAAATCTTGGGAGGTATGGAGCATTATTAAAAAAGGCAATCAATAGAAACCGGAAAGGACTAAACAATGTGCAGAATATTTCACACTCCTTTCAAAAAGCCCAAATGTAATTTCTATTGGCCCAATTCTTGATTTTTAATTTTTTTTTTTTTTTGCCCTTTTCCGGTTTTGGCATACGGCTGCCGAAATGGCAAATTATATTCATTAGGCTTGAACTGAAATGCGTCTATTTACTTACACAAAACATGAAGGATCAACATGTAATCACTCTGGATTGAGAGTTAAGATGGATACATACACACTTTTTTGTGTATTAATTGGTAGATGTAATTTGTACCTAAGTATAAGATTAATAATATGTGAACCGACACTCTTGCTATAGAGTCAGGAATAAGAGAATATATTCTTTTAAATATCCCCATTGCTGCATTGCTTTACTAATGGAGAATGACTCAGGGGTTTAGATATATTATGAAGCGCTAGCCTTTTGTAAACTTCTTTACCAAAAAAAACCAAAGAAAGAAGCAAAAAAAATGTTTCTCTACTTATTTTGACAAGACGACTCCATAATCATTGCTCCAAATCTCGGCCCTAATACAAGTCGAATTTTCTTTATAAACAGGAGATGTTATGCTTATATATTCCTCGCGATTGTAATTTGTATATGATATAGAAGCACTCAAAAGAATGACAATTACGTTATAAACACACGATAATTGTGTCAAATGGTGCACATAAAAATTACTACTACTATATAAGTTTCATCAAATGGAGGAGAATGAACTATGAATGTCACCGAAGAGCGTATTATAATCTATCAAAAGAAGAAGAAACTGTCTAGTTTTTTTGCATGCGAAATTCGTTTTTTTTTTTTTTCTTTCTTTCAGATAATGCTTTCTTTGGAAATTGAATAAACTTCTTTTTCTTCTTCTCTTAAAAAAAAAAAAAAAAAAAAAAGAGCCTGAAAACTGAAATAACTTTTAATTACAGGTGTCCAAAACGACAATCAGAGTGCAGTGCCCATTTGGAAGTCGTGCCGGGAAATGACTGATTGAGGAATATTCTTCCACCCAAAACCACGCTTTCTTCTTCCCTCCTTTCTTCCCTTCGACTAACTAATTCACGCACAATCCTCATCGGCTCCACCTCCTCCTCCGTTCTCTTCCCGGCAGGAAAAAAAAGAAAAAAAGTCTTCTGACGAGTTTCTCCCGATTAGGCTTGTAATCTAATTTCCATTTCCTGTTTCGATGGACTTAACCAACCACGAAGGCCCGACCAACCCGACACCCGACGATGACGGGTCATCGACATTGCTGGATCTCTCCAGCTGCCAGCTCCGTGATCTCGACTCCGTCGACCTTCCGCCGACTCTCACTGAATTGGACTTAACCGCTAACCGCCTCTCCAAGTTGGACCCGCGTATTGCCCACCTTTCAAACCTCAAGAAGCTCTCTTTCCGTCAGAACCTATTTGATGACGCAGGCGTCGAGCCCCTCTCCACGTGGCACGACATTGCCGACCTTGAGGTATTACTTCTGGACCTTTCCCCGGTGAAATTGATGCTATTAGTATTGCCTTGCTGTTAAGATAGGTTTTTTTTTTTTTTTGTGTGTTGAATTGGCAGTCCTGTTTCATTTTGAGTTTAGGGCTTGCTTTATTTAATTTTCCCGGGTAATGGGTGTATTTATTCTAGTGTTGTTAACAATAAAAGCTGGTTTGCAAAACTAATTTGATATATTTAGCTTATGAGTTAGTTTCAATGTCAAATTCTGATTTTCAAGGTGAATGCAGTTTATTCTGTCTCTTCCTCCGAGCATGTCAAGTTGAAGATATAGGAAACATATCTTTATTGTAGCTTTTGAGTAGATTTTACATATCGTATACCTCATGGAAGTTTGATTTGTATAATTACTTCGGTGCGAGGATTTGTAATCTTCTTGTTCCGTTATAGTCACTGTTCTTGTTTGTATTTGGTGTTCTCACATATGATTTGTTCTTTTTCCGGAGTTTGGAAAATGTTGATTATGAGGGTTCAATGATTTTTAATGCATGATTGGGAGTTTAGTTCGCGACTTTCATGTCTGTTTTGTAGTAAAGTTTCTTTATTTCCGGTTTTCATCTCTCCGCGGAAAATATACATCTCATGGAACCTCATTTCTAGTGACTTCCTCTGTGCTATGTAAAATTGCAGTTTACCAGTGTTTAGTGACTAACTCCCTGGCCACAAACAATATATATCTGACATGTTCAGCTTATGTTCTTTGACATGCCCTTGCTTATCTTATATTTATTGGAAGTTAATGATGCCTCGCTTGAAATGATTTCCTGGTAACTATGTAAAATTGTAAATCAAGGATGAGTTTTCCTGATTATATTTTCATTGAACTTTGAATATGTGGTGGGGGTTAAGAGTTGATCATTAAGTTTGCTTTCAATGGTCTTTTCCCTTAAGGTTTTCTTCTCATGTTTTTCCCTACTATAGCTGCATTGAAATTTTCTGCTATTTCAGTGTTTGAGCGAAACCTTGAGTTGATGGAACTTATTTGTTCTATAGGAGCTCGTTTTCAGGGACAACCAATTGAAGAAAGTTCCTGATGTCAGCATTTTCAAGAGGCTTTTAGTTTTTGATATCTCTTTCAATGAGATTCAAACTCTTCAGGGCTTGTCCAAGGTTTCCAACACACTTAAAGAGCTCTATGTATCCAAAAATGAAGTTCCCAAGATTGAAGAGATTGAGCATTTTCAAGATCTGCAAATTCTTGAACTTGGATCTAACAAATTGCGGGTAGGTCCTTTTCTTTAAAAGGCTGTTGGAAGCAACATGCTACTGTTTGCAAAGACATAAATGAGGTTGATATTACCCAAACTATTTACTATTAGGTTAAAAGATCAAAAATACCTTTGTTATATTTTTCATTCTTTGATTATGTCAGTACTCAAAAACAGAGGTGCACTTATTGTTACCATTATTCTTTTTTTGGTGGATTCCTCATGCAGCAATTAAATGCTTTCTTTCAGGTAATGGAGAATCTGCAAAACTTCAGTAATTTGCAAGAGCTATGGCTGGGCCGTAATCGCATAAAGACTGTTGACTTATGTGGGTTGAAAGGAATCAAGAAGATTAGCCTGCAAAGCAATCGATTAACTTCAATGACAGGATTTGAGGTACTCCAGTTTTCAGAAAGTTTAACACAAAACTATTCGTGATTATGATTATGAATGACCTCAATCAACACTTGATTTTATCCTGTTTTGAACTTTCTCTGCTTCCTTCAATTTCAGGAATGTGTCGCTTTGGAGGAGTTGTACTTGAGCCATAATGGTATTTCAAAAATGGAAGGCCTATCAAGATTGACGAATCTTCGAGTTTTGGATGTTTCTTCTAATAAGCTGACTGAAATTAGTGACATCGAGAAACTGACAAAGTATGAAAATCTACCTTGGTACTTCCGAGTTCTCAAATTTTACCTCAGCCCTATTCAATTATTATCTCTTTGTCGGTCATTTCTTGCAGATTAGAAGATTTGTGGCTGAATGACAACAGTATTGCTTCATTAGATGGGATTGCTGATGCTGTTGCTGGTTCAAGACAGAAGCTAACCACCATCTATCTTGAGCGTAATCCATGTGTAAGAGATCAATTATCTAGTTATCATATGTTTTTACTGATGTACAATGATTCTTGCCTTCATCTCTAATAAGAAAATGCGTACCAGTAGGAACTTTCTTGGCTGATTTTTTTCCTTGGATATTGCAGTCTTTTGTTGGTTTGTTCGTAATTTCTATGACAAGTTTTGTCTGTTGTACGACTTGTTTAGATTACTGTAACTGTAATCTCAACTTTCATGGCAAGCCTGTTTGCATACTCATCAAAAGTTCCCCAATAACTTTGACATGGACATATATCAGTGCTAGAATCTGAATTGGTTTTCTGGTGGATTCACTGTTCTTTATCCTTATCTGTTGCATTCATCAGATTTTCTGGTGAAGGGAGCCTTGGCATAGCAATTAGAGCAGTCTGCATCTGATCTAGGTTCTGGGGTCTATTGTGATGGCCTCGTATGATTATCTAAATTATAAGTTAAAGGCTGGCTTTAATAGCCCAACCTGTACCTTCTGAACCCATTTTATTCATCAGACTTTCTGCTGAATGTCATCCTATGACCACCCTCGAAATCTTGTGATATTGCATAATGCTTTCAATAGCGAAAGAAATGTTGCTGTTGATTTGAGAAGGACATCATATTTGGGTGTTGTCATGTTGTTTCTAGTTAAAGTAACATAATGTAGTGCCCTGTGTCTTGTTGTTCCCTTTTCCCTTTGTTTGGACATTTCACATGCATGTTATTTCGTGAGTAGTACAAGATTCTAATATTTCTTAAATTCCTTGCAGGGCAACACTCCGAACTACATTGCTGTCCTTAAAGAAATCTTTCCCAATATTGAACAAATTGATTCTGAAGTATTTAATATGTAGAGAAATTTTGTTATGTCAACCTTGGAATGTTGTTTTTTGTCAAGTCAGCTTTGTTCAAATAGTGGGAAGCAACTTCTTGAATTGCTATGTCAACTAGGGACGATTAAAAGGGGTGGTTAAAATTTCAGTCTATTTTGAGAGACTGATGAGTAACTTGCACCCGCATTACCAAAGATGTTGATTTTTGGGTAATTCCAGGAGTTATTTTCTAGTTTCAAGATTAGAGCCAGAAACCCGAGTCTCGTGAGAAGAGTGCAACTGCAGAGTCTGACCTATCAAAACAAAAGAAGTGCATCTGCAAACTTCTTGTTGTTATCAAAGTAACACGGACTGAATTCTTTAACTTGAGTGACAAAGCAAATTGAATTCAGCCCTCCTATAGTCCGTGCTATTCATATGTCAAAGCCCCTTTTTCAAAAAAAAAAAAAAAAAAAAAAATGTCAAAGCCACCACTCAATATTAATCATCAAGTTAATTTTGTAACTTTGTTATCTCTCAAAAGAAATGATACATTTCAGTCTATTTTGTTGTGTTGCCTATAGCCCAGATTCTTGATCTTTGTGGAAATCTATAAGATCCTTGGAACCGTGAATATGAAACCAAAAAAAAGCAGTAGACATATAAAAAGAGAAAGAATCATTTATGAGTCCCAAAAAATAGTCCACAACTGTCTCTAGTACAAATTTGAAAACTCGATATAGACCATTTTTTTGGGACGGGGTAATAATAAGTACTCATATTACAAAGACCACCAAGTAAAAGGAAATTTGAACTAGGAAAAATCCTCAAATGAGATTAAATCGTCTCTACAATCCATCTCCTTCCCCCAAGAACAATCTTTCAACATAGACAAAAGATAGCAGAGGTTGAAGCGCCTCCGGGAAAGCTTATAATAATAAAGAAGCTGACTAACGGCCTTTGTCGAAAGCAATGCGAGATCTACCAGATCCTTCAAATCCATCTCGCATGGATCCAGCAGTAGCCTTCATTGTACCACTTTTTCCAACTTTGTCCATTGCTTTTTCACCTTTCTTAACCTCACTCAAGAATTTGTCCAGACCAAATGGATCAGCTTCTTCAGCGTCTCTCTCAAACTTAACAGGTCCTTCTCTAGGACCAGTCCTCTCAGACGTACCGGCAAATGCTTTGTCAGGTTTAAAGCGATCAGTCTTCATAATCTTTTCGAGCTGCTCGTCTGCACCTCCATACATGTCGGAATCAACATCTTTCTTGGGCTTGTAAAGAGTAGACAGAGTGGGTTGCGCAGTGAAAAGACCCTTGTCATATACATTGTAAGCATCATCAGTCGCAAATCCAGAGTCCATTCCTTTCTCTTGATTAAACAACCTTTGATCATACTGGACTTCACCCACATTCCCCGTTGTAGCCATTCCAAGAGCAACTTTCTCACTGATGTCTCGGTCTTTGTCCCTCGTAAGCTTACTTCTCTTTCCCGTGGCTGAATCTTTGGCCTCCAACCTTCTCTCCCTCTTCCTCTCATTTCGTCGTTCCTCACGGATATTATCCCTTTGCAACTTCTCCTCTCTGTCCCTTGAGGCATTATTCTCAACAGGATCATAATCTGCCATGATATCATCAGTAACTCTCTCAGAAACAGGCATAGAATTGGAACCAGATGGGAGAGCTGTTCTCTCTAATCTAGCTTTTCGGGCCAACTCTCGCAGCGCCATATCTTTCCTTACTTGCTCTTTCATCATCATTTCCTTCTGTACCTTATTCCTCATTTCAACAGCCTCTCTAGCCTTCTGTTCTGCTACATACAGAGCCTCAGACAACTTAGCAAAATTCTCACTAATCTGAACATCCTGGAGACCACTGCCATCAGCTGCCACACGCTTGCCCAGAGGTATTACATAACCTTTAGCATTCTTCCAATTCGAAATACAAGGGGCGACCTTCCAATCTTGCTGGTCTTTAACAGTCACCGGCCGCGGAGGTGAGTGCATTACCGGCACAGGTGGAGAACCAGAAGGTTTAGGAACCTTCTTAGCTTTGAACTTAGGTGGCTCCAGAGGATCAACAGGGGTCTCCACCATCCGAACAATTCTCTCCATTGCGCCGGAATTAAATGCAGCTGATTGCTGTGAAGACTTGTACTTTATATATTTGGAATCAGAAGATTGTGCAGGGACATTCTTAGGCTGAGCAGCACGCAACCTCGCATTCACAATTTTCTCTAAAGCAGCCCTGGTTGTCTCAGTGGTTTCCTCAATTTCTCTCTGCCCCTCATCCAAATCCATCTCTTCTTCCTTATTTTTCCCATCTTTGATCACAGCTGGGATAAGGTCTTTATGCTGGGAATAAACAATCTTTTTGGCATTTTCGTTTAGCCTCACAATAGAATCATACATTATGTCACCATGCTCATCAACTGTCACAATCAATGTATTACTACTATTTTTCGGGTTGCCGGATACTCGCTCCCGACCCATGTTAAGAGGGAATTGAACAATGTGGATTTCAGCAAACGCCCCTCCATCGCCGAAATCCTCGAGCTTTGTCGGTTTGAGTCCAGCCCTTTTCAAGTACGGTGGGACTGGATTGGGTTCAACCGGCGCAGGTTTCTCCGACGACTCTGCAGCTCTATCAGAATACCTGTTCTTGAACCAGGGATCATTGGAATGGTCATAATGAGATTTACCATTCAACTTGGCAGGTGGAGGAAGGAAATCTTTCAATCCCACCTTCAATTTTCCAAAACCAACTCTTCTCGACTCTGCCGCAGAATCGTCATCATCGGCGGTACGAGTCGACTTCGACGGCGGAGAAGAATCCTTTGACGGGGACATCTCCGGAACCCTACACAAAGAAACCCAAAAGGAAAAAAAAAATCACGTAAGGAGGGACTAAATCGAATTGTCAAAAAGAAAAAAAAAAAAAAAAAAAAAAGACGAAGAAAAAAAACCCCTAGTTGAAGGACTAAAGACAGTAGTTTTAGAGTGCAAAGAAGGCGAAGAAGAACTATACGTACGTTAAAGAATCCGCAGATGTGCAGCCTCACATATTTATAGAGAGAGGTTCCTAAAATTTCTCCGTATGATTCTGAAAGTAAGTCGGCGGGATTTTGAAACCGAAGAGGAATGGGCTCATAAATAGTAGTAAATACCATGAGCAAAAAGTCTATGGATGAATGCTTTATATTTTCTGTTTTAGCTACTGATCGATCTGGTGCTTTTCCTGAATCGAAAATACTAAGGAATCCTTGAACTGGGGAGACAGTAAGTAGAGATATTCTGATATACTGTATGAGACATCCAATGCCTGCCTTACACGGGTTCTGTAGTAATTAAACACGAGCTCATAGATTGAAATGAAAAAGATTTCAGAATTCAATCCAAAGCTTTCATGTTAGTTTTTACAAAGTTTCATCAGTTGTAGGACTTTTGAATCTTTAGTTTTGTAGGAATCTCTCTGTCGATCAATTTCATGCAAATTTATGTCCACTGTTAAAACCGGTGTATGCATATTCAAGTGGTGACAGATCAAGCAAAACTGAGAAATTCTAACACAAAACAAATGGGACTTAAAACAGTATGATCATGCACATTGAAAGGTCTACATAGCTTAAGTGGTCCTACAAATCACAAAGCTAATCACTGTAATCTGAAAACATAAGAGGGTGTGGAAGTCCTATAACCACCACAACCACCATAAGCCGAACCACATCAGCCCATCGTTTTTTCTGGCTACTTAAAAACTCTTCTCCCAGGCCTGACAATATTATTCTCCCGTTCTCCGAAGGAGATAAGAGGCAGCAATCCAGCCATTCAGCTTTCAGCTCTCTCAAAAATCATTTTTTATAGTTGTTCGACAAAAAAGCTGCAATCTTTTGTGCCAAATGGAACTATAAACATGTAACCAACGAAACCAGGAGGCATATTACAAAAGCATAGCCTTTATCCAGAAAATATTGTACATCCCACGAGTGAAATCGAAATTTTAACTTAGAAAAACCTGACACAAGAGCAGGAACATTGCAGGACTGTAACTCTACAGTCCGGATTTGAAATATATTCCAACATTGATCAAAGAAAAAAGTAAGTTCATACAGCAAAGGCTGAAATCCCTCCGGGAAAGCTTAGAAGATGACTAACGGCCTTTGTCGAAAGCAATGCGAGATCTTCCAGATCCTTCAAATCCATCTCGCATGGATCCAGCCGTAGCCTTCATTGTACCACTGTTTCCAACTTTGTCCATTGCTTTTTTACCTTTCTTAACCTCAGTCAAGAATTGATCCAAACCAAATGGATCAGCTTCTTCAGTATCTCTCTCAAACTCAACAGGTCCACCTCTAGGACCAGTCCTCTCAGACGTACCAACAAATGCTTTGTCAGGCTTAAAGCGGTCAGTCTTCATAATCTTGTCGAGCTGCTCATCTTCACCTCCATACATGTCAGAATCAACATCTTTCTTGGGCTTGTAAAGAGTAGAGAGAGTAGGCTGTGCAGTAAAAAGACCCTTGTCATATACGTTGTAAGCATCATCAGTAGCAAATCCAGAGTCCATTCCTTTCTCTTGATTAAACAGCCTTTGATCATACTGGACTTCACCCACTTTCCCTGTTGTTGCCATTCCAAGAGCAACTTTCTCACTGATGTCTCGGTCTCTGTCCCTGGTAATCTTACTTTTCTTTCCCATAGCTGCATCTTTGGCTTCCAACCTTCTTTCCCTCTCCCTCTCTCTACGTCGCTCCTCACGGATTTTCTCCCTTTGCAACCGCTCCTCTCTCTCCTCTTTACTCTCTCTCTCCTTCTCCCTTGGAGCATTCCTAACACGATCGTAATCTGCCATCATATCATCGACCACTCTCTCAGAAGGAGGCATAGAACCAGATGGGGGAGCAATACCAGTTCTCTCAGATCTAGCTTTTCGGGCCAACTCTCGCAGTTCCATCTCTTTCTTTTCTTTCTCTTTCATCATCATTTCCTTCTGTACCTTATTCCTCATTTCAACAGCCTCTCTAGCCTTCTGTTCTGCTACATACAGAGCCTCAGACAACTTAGCAAAATTGTCGTTAATCTGAACATCCTGGAGACCCCTACCATCAGCTGCCAAACGCTTGTCCAGAGGTATTGTATAACCTTTAGGATTCTTCCAATTCGAAATACATGGAGGGATCTTCCAATCTTGCTGGTCTTTCACAGTCACAGGCCGGGGAGGGGAGTGCATTACTGGCACAGGAGGAGAACCAGAAGCTTTCGGAACCCTCTTATGTTTGAATTTAGGTGGCTCCAAAGGATCGACAGGCATCTCGACCATCCGAATAATTCTCTCCTTTGCACCAGAATTAAAAGCAGCAGACTGCTGTGAAGGCTTGTACTTGATATATTTGGAATCAGAAGATTGTGTAGGAACATTTTTAGGCTGAGCTGCACTCAACCTCACGTTTACAATCTTCTCTAAAGCAGCTTTGGTATCCTGAGTAGTTTCCTCAATTTCTTTCTGCTTCTCATCCAAATCCATCTCTTCCTCATTTATCCCATCTTTGACCACAGCTGGGATAAGGTCTTTATGCTGAGAATAAACAATCTTTTTGGAATTTTCATTTAGCCTCACAATAGAATCATACCTCACATTCCCATGCTCATCAACGGTCACGGGCAAGGTATTACTACCGGGCTTCCAATCCCTCTTTCGACCCATGTCAAGAGGGTATTGAGCAATGTGAATTTCAGGGAATGCCCCACCATCTCCAAAATCCTCAATCTTGGTTGGCTTAAAGCCTGCTCTTTTCAAGTATGGGGGAACTGGATTGGGTTTAACCGCTAAAGATTTTTCAGACTCAGCGGCAGTATACCTCTTCTTGAACCAGGGATCATTGGAATGATCGTAATGAGTGGTGCCACTCGATTTGACAGGAGGAAGAAGATCCTTCAAAGCAGCCATCAATCCTCCAAACAAGAATCTTAATTAAACTCTCCACCAAGAGCCCTACACAAAAGCAAAGGGGGAAAAAGACGTTACCAGAGAAGAAAAACACCCAACAACTATAATTGATGCACTCAGTTTAATACAGGCTACCTTCACACCAAGCAAAAACACACAAACAGAACATAGAAAAAAGCTGAAGCGAACAGGTAAAGGACACCAAATCCTGTTTCGAACGCTAAGACAAAGATTGAAGCCCCAACTAAGAAAAAGGGAAGTAATAAACCTTTGTACTGCTCAACTGTAACAACAAATCCAGATTCATACATGCATAAAGCAGTGAGCCAACGGGGCCAGGAGTACCAAGTCCCAGCTAAATTTAAATAAGTTAAAAGAAAAATATGCACAAAACAAAAACGTTTGAAACTTTTTGAGCCGCCGGTGGAGGAGATCGAAAAAAGTTAAAGAATGCACCACCAACGCATCAAGCTTCCAAAGACTAACACAACTTAAGAAATACGGGCCGTGATGGTTTTAATTTGAGCAAATAACGGGCCGGTGGAGGAGGTGGATATGGCGGCGATTCGAGCAGAAATCTAGGGCACATACAATCTAACAACGATAGAAAAGGGAAAAGTGACAAATTGATAGAACGGACAACTTAAAATAAGGGGAAAAAACGAAGAAGATAGAATAAATGAACTTACCAATATGAATCAACCCTTCAGGAATTGGGGGGGGAGAGAAAGGTTGCGCAGTCGTCCCCGACGGTGAACTGGATATTTCTCTATCCACCGCTGGCCGGTGAACTTTTTATATTTTTTGTTGACTGGGAGTTTATCCTCTGTTTTTTTCGTCGACTTTTTAGCTTAGTCGGTCTTGTCAAATTTGGGCCTCATGGGCTCCCTTGTCTGATTTGTGAATTCTGAATGGGCTGGAAAGTATTGGATGTCACCTTTATTCATTGGGCTATTAGCATGAACAAATTTATTTATTGATTTGTTTTGAACATTTTTTTAAAAAAGAAAAGGGCAAATTTGGCTCGAGGGCAGTGAAACAAGTCAAATTAATAAAAGTGATATGACTTTAAAATATTTTTTATGAAAGGCGATAACTTGTTTGTCAAAAATCATAAAGTAAAAATTAGTTTGAATTGACAATATCACCCTTATAATTTCTTATCAAACAAAAAATAAATTTATAAATAAAATGAAAGTCATTCTTCAGGGGAATGGTTCTAACGCCGGAATTTAATGAATATTCAAACTCCTTAAAATACCAATCTTCCTAATCGAAAATTCAAGCTGCTTCAACAATGTCTGGTCAAATTAGTGCACCGTAGCAAATAAGAAATCGATATCAGAACAAACCTGGGAGCGCACTATCATCCACTTCTGGGCTGCCTCCGCCGTTAAATTCTTGGCAACATGAATGCGACACTCTGAGGCTGAACATGTGTCTCAAACAATTCCTTAATTTTAATGTCCTCATCACCGATCACCATAAACTTTATGGCTTGTATTGCATAAAAACAAAGACAAACGAGTCATTTTCTTTTTTCCTCTTCTCTGTAACAATTAACAATGAAAAAGAGATCAAATCGATAGATGGAATTGATTTTCTCCACCCTTTTCTCATCGATTTTTTTTCTTTTACTTTTCCTTGTCTATGCGGATTGATCAGAGAGATTTACTTAAAGGTAAAAGTTTCAGTGATGGTGGGTGATGAAATTATTGTTGATAACGGCTCAGAATCATATCCTTATGAAATTCTGGCAAAGAATATAATGGCGTTGACGGCAACGAGATTCAGGCTCTCCGATTGTTCATATTGATCTTTCTCCCGTTGGAGGCTCAAACGGAATGGAGACATGCCTTTTGGAGAGATGACCATCATGTTGCACGATGTGCGACGGATATTGGGCGTTCCTATTGATGGTAGTTTGATTACAGCACATCCTGAGGTTAGTGATTGTCATAATTTGGCCATGAGAATGTTGTTAGTGCCTGTTGAGGATCTAGTTGCTAGTAAAGCATATCAGGATGGGGGGATTCAAGAGAATGAAGTCCTGCAATATTGCCGTATTGGTCGGCCTGCTCGAGATCAGGCGATTGCTTGGTTATGGCTCATGTTAGGGAAAGTGATGTGTGTTTTATTGGATCTATGTCATCAAGTCATTTGCTCTAAAACAAATAAAATTTAAATAAATCGATTAGTAAATTAAAACAAATTCTTTTGATGGCAAAGTCAGCTACTGACTAAATGGACATAGGCGGTTCCACTCCGCTATCCTATCCTGATACATGTTATCCCATCCAACAACACTGTTATCAGCCCAGTCATACCAATGTGAATGTATACGAGGCACAAGAAAATCACCACCTAACTCAGCACAAATGTAGTGGTCAGCATGTCTAAGGTGAACAAGCACAATCTCACGAATTGGTCCTGTGGCGCTATTGCGAGCCTGAAAATGCAACAATGTATAACAAAAAAAGTTCATATTCCTGTTCAAATCAGGTCCGAAACTGTACAGAAAAACTGCTACATTCCAGATAGTAGCAATGGCGAACAAGTCTGTGTTTTCCATCCAGTGATATCGATCACATCCACCTTTCTCCCACCTTATCCGTCGAACAGCATCCATTCTCTTTCTGTAGTATGCACTATCCCACAAATCACACAATGTACGAAGATCACTAACAATCACTGCTCGGACCCACGGGCATTCCTACTGCGTGCCATGGATATATTCTACCACACAACGGAAACCACAGTTCCCATCTGGTTCCACATCAAGGTATCTCTGAATGTAGGGAAGCATAAAATACGGAATGGCCTTAGCACTTCCATAGGAAATAATATCCGTCCTCCAACCTCTTCTGTCATCTATTAAAAAAAATTAAAATTATCTTTTTCAGATTATACTGTCAATACTGTTAATTTTTAAACTTAAATGTGCAACAATATAAAATATTTTTACCTCTATCATTGGATCTATGCGAGGATCCGGATGACGTGTCCTTATGTGATGAAGTACTCATGCGAGATTGCCCATTTCTGGTCTTATGCTTCTCTCAAAAACAAGGGATCCGTTTCTTAAGTTTCGGATGACCTTTCACACTCGTCTTCACCTTTGGTTGCTCGTAGCTCATATGCTCAGAGATTACATGTTGTAGGAACGCATTGATGCGCCTCAAAACAGTAGGTTTCTTGTTATACGCGACATCCGGAAGACCTGAAAAAATCTTCTGTTCATCTGTTTCATCATCAGCAATATCAACATCATTCGAATCATCATCATCAGGAGCTGAATCAGGTATGTTTCTCCTATAATCTAGTCTGCTCCAAAAGGGTGGATGTCGGCTACTTCAAGGGGCAACCGCTCATCAACTATCCATCTAAGCGCGCACACACAAGGGATTCCATGAGTCTTTTTCAACACACAACTACAACTCTGGTAAACATCTTCGCCCAGTTCATTTATGCGAGCAAACTCTCTATCAAGGATTTCCAGGCAGTAATGTGAGACACGTTCAACTATACGATCATAGGAGAACTGAAGGTGGGATCGATTCCAACATCGCACCGACAACCCTAGACTGAACCTGCAATTAAAAAACCTCATTGTTAATCTAATACTATAGGAAATACTATTAGTAATACGAAGTGAAATAAAAACACAATAATATAATGTACGTGATCTCAATGAAAGCATGCTCGATCCCATTGTGGATTTTGATCCACATTGTATCTAGCCGCAGGTTCGACGTCTCAAGAAACTGCTTCAAGCCACTATGAGCGGCCTCCATCCTACAATTACTGGTGTTCCCCAAGTGTGTCACCTCATTTGTCCACGCATGAGCCCACTTCTTCTTGTGAACTAACCAAGTGTCCTCGACATACTTCACCAACTTTCCATAACTTTCAGTCTTTGAGTGCTTATACGCCTTCATCCCTAACTTAGCCATTGCATGTTCGTACTAAGTAGGAGCTAGAAGTATCTCTCTGAATACATTGTCCATCTACCAAATTGCAAATTCGCCACCACAATAACTATTCACGTGTGTCACAACACATCTGTCGATGTGCCACATGCACAGAAGATGTGCAGACTCTAGAAACCACTGACTGATTGGACCTACCAGTCCCAACTCCCTGTCCGTCACTATGGCTGTATGATGCACCTCCCACCCAATCAAATTTTGCAACTGCTTCATCACCCAATCACAAATCTTACTCGTTTCATCCTTCATAATTGCATATGCAATCAAGATATTCTTATTGGTTGGAGCCATCCTAATCATTTGGAACAGTGGCATCTTATACTTGTTTGTTCCATAAGTAGTATCCATACCAATGTACCACCTGTAGATTCTGAGCATCTGTGCAGATACTGGATGTGCCAAGAAAATATTACTCAACACACCTGAATCATGATCTGTAAAAATCACATAGCCGTGTTCCTTAGCTACATAAAAAAACTGCTCCACCAAAGTTCTATCATCGAAACTGTCCAATCACAACCTACCCCTGTAATTGTATACCTGTTTGGGGACAACGTAGTTGTCAGGGCATTCAGCATTAATTCGCTTCACCATTGCAGCCAGTTTTCCTCCAAACCTCAACATTTCCCTAACAATCTCCTTCGCTTTATCGCTCATCCCGCTCATCTGCCTCTGTCCCTCCCTAAATGTACCAAACGGGTGGTTATGCATACCCTTAGTACCTGATACAGTACGAATGCCAAATGAAGTACCATCATCTCGCATTTCGGCTATAAGCTGGAACTGGCATCCACAACACTGCCACTTCGTACTTCGCACCTTATCCTCCGTCTCTCTTGAGGGAATACCCTTTGGACATCTCAATAATTTTGACGTCTCACTTCTCTTTGACGAAATAACAACCTCAAAACCAAGAGATTTTATAGTCTGTTTCACCCATTCTACAGCATCATCAAATGTATCGAATCTAATGCGAGTCTTGAAATACGAACTATAGTCAATACCATCACCACCATAATCCTGTAATGAAACATAATCAAATTTAACAAACTTAAATATATACATAAAAAAATAACTACACAATTAAGTATATTAAATTATGTAAAACATACCTGATGAACAATTTATAATTTAAATTTAAATGCCTTACATGATAGTCAATTAACACTATATTAAATTTCATTTACATAAATAATATAATTTAAATTATATTACATTTATTACACACTACCAATTAGTATTAATAAATACAATACAAAGATGTAATTATCACTACAAAAAATTTAATTTACATAAACACTTATTATTAATAATATTTATTTTTTTTAATTAAATAAAAAAATCTAAACAATAAACATTGATACTATTCATTCAAACAAATTAATTATTAAAAAAATATTAATAATAACTAAAATGAATATAACATAAAAAATTTAAAAAAATAAAGAAAAAATAAATTGCTCAAGGGTAGCCGGCGGCAAACAGGCTACCCCTAAAGAGCTAGGTCGGTCAAAACCGGCTAGCTAAACCGAAGGAGCCGGTTAAAGGGTAGCTAAAAATACAGTTCTGGACAAGGGTAGCCGAAGCCGGTTAAAGGGTAGCTAAAAAAACAGTTCTGGACAAGGGTAGCGGCTACCCTTGTCCAGAACTGTTCTTTTAGCCATAATATTTAATGAATTTTGGCAAAAGAAAACATATCAAATTTGAGGCCGAGCCTTCCGGTGATTGATTCTCTTGTTCTGCCATTTTTTAACCTCCAAATTATTGTGGATCTGAGTTCAGTGAAAGAACCAGCCCCAAATATTTACGGGGTCGAGTACATATATAAATTTTTTTTTGCAAATATTTTTAAACTTGTAAGGTAATTTTTTTAAAAAATTTGTCGACCGCAGGATCGGCCGACCACCCTCATTCCCCCTAGTTCCGTCCCTGTCTGAGTTTGACATTATGATTTTTGAGTTTTTTTTTCTTTGAGAGTAGAAGAAGAAGAGAAAGAAATGATTTGAAACTATGTGTTTTAGTACTCTTTGTAGTACTCAAGGGCAAAAAGGTCCAAACGACTGTAAATGAGTAATTATTATAACTACAAATAGTAATGCCCAATTGGTTTTTTTTTTTGCCCTTTTCCCTTCCCTTTGTTTATTGACGAATCAGTGATAGGAGGCCAAGTATTAGGAGCCAATGAGGACACTTCACGTGGCATTCTCCATTTAGCTACCTAAATCGTTAAGTCATTGTTTCCGTTTTTAAACAAACCACAAGAAAACGTATCAGCAGCCACACAACTCGTAGTACGATTTTTCCCAGACCGTAGAAAAAGAGATATTACCACGGTAATTATTCAGAGTTTACAGTTCGTCTTAAGTTTCAGTGGACTGACAAAAAGTCTACGCTCGGTTCTTCTTCCTCCGAAAACCCCCAAACCCATCCCAGCATCCTCAGTCTCCATCTCACTGTGTGGTAGTTGCGGATTTTGTTTTCGCCGTCAATGGCGGCGCCGGAGAGCTCACCGCCTTCATCTCTACGTAATGCGTTCGGTTTCGTCTTCTCGTTCTTCATTCTGGTGTTGATCGGCGTTCTTGCATTCTCGATCCGTCTCTTCTCGGTCAGACAACATCTTTCTAACTTTACATATTCCTGTAACCTTGTGTGTTTTCTTACATATAAATGATAATTGAGATCGGAGTCTTGTAATGTGGAATCTTTTTTTCGAGTTGTTTAAAGCGTTTCACTTGTTACTCTTATTATTATCATGGCGTTTCCTGGACTTGTGTTGATGCGGGATTACGGTTTTGATTGAGTACAGGTGATTAAATATGAGAGTGTGATCCACGAATTTGATCCTTATTTCAACTACAGAGTCACTCAGGTTCGTGTTTTGGTGCATTTTTCTTCACGATGTAATTAGTACAATTACGTGTTAGTGGCTTCAACTGTAATTGGAAATGAAAATACTTCATCTGTGTGGTTGCAGAAAAGATTACTTATCTTGCATTTAAACTGGGCCCTTCTGATTTGTTGGTATTCATTGGTTGAAGCGAATGTACAAATCCCATGCGATGTGCATATGTTATCATTAAAAAATAATGCTTGTTTCTGCAAATCATCTTAGCTTCAAGTTAGGGAAATGAAACTGGACCTAAGGATTGAATCATCTGTGACATTCTTTTATTTTGAAATACTTGTGAATTGTACCTCCGTGAGAAAAGGACTAAAATACTCTATGTGAAACTCTTGGTTTTTTTCCCTCTACTCATTGCACTCCTGGTGTTTAGTGTTGAACAAATAATTGCTTTTCAGACTATTATGGTATGGGTTGACTTCTAGCCTAGGAGGCAACTGGGATCATATTCACGTTACAGGCTTCTCCACCTTAAAGAAAATGGAAATATGGATCTTGAAAGCTACTGAATGCTGTTAATTTGGTTTCAACCACTGCCTACTGTGAATAATGCCACATTTTATATTTATTTTAATTTGTAGCTTTGATTGCTAACCAAGATACGAAATACAAGCCTTTGACAAGATATCTATTGTTTCAGTACCTCACAAAGAATGGGATATATGACTTCTGGAATTGGTTTGATGACCGGACCTGGTAACTTTTGCAATTTTCCGTAAATGCATCTTGCATTTTTTTTCTGATTAAAACTGTTGAGTACTGAATTGTTTTGTGCTTTAAACTAGGTACCCTCTTGGGCGTGTCATTGGCGGAACTGTTTATCCTGGACTAACTTTAACAGCAGGCACCTTGTGGTGGTATGCATCTTCATTGATTTTATTTTTCTTGCATTTCTACATCTAGATTTCATGAAGTTTCAGATTTTTCCATGTAAAAATGCTCTTTTTCTCCTGCATCTCGTGTTGCTACTATTTGCGATTCCTCTCCATGGCGATTCACCTGACTACTGTTCTATATGTTAAATTGGCAGGCTATTGAATTCTCTAAATATTCCTTTGTCTGTGGAAACTGTATGTGTATTTACGGCCCCAATATTCTCAGCTTTTGCTTCTTGGGCAACTTTTCTTTTGACAAAGGTTGGTTTTCCTATTATTTTTATGCTTTGAGACATAAACAACTATGGTTAGCTTACGTCTATGTGCATACTTGTCAAGCTCCTGTCATTTGTTTGTTCAATTATGCTTTCTTTTGACACTTGTAGGAAGTGAAGGGCACTGGTGCTGGATTGACTGCTGCAGCTCTCTTAGCTATGGTAATGTAGTTACAGTTATCCGTATGCCTATGGAAATCTGAATTTGGAGGTTCTTGAGAAATCATAGTCATATTTTCCTTAACTTCAAAGAGGCATCCTGATTCAATGCGATAATGTTATTGTTTATGTTTATTAAATCATTTGCCTGTGGTCAAAACCATTTCTGGTACCGTAATTTCTAGTTTTGAGCTACTGGAAGACGAGGTTATTCAGTTTCTTAAATGGGCTGTTTGTTTAAAGTTTCTTTATGATGGAAGATCTCATTGGAAAAGGGAAAATTTGTGGAGGGATTTTCTGGGAAAATTTTGACTTTGGGGGTTGATTTTCTTGAAATTATGTGAGAAGATTTTGGTGGGAATTCAAGTCTTGAAATTTGATAGTAGATATGTTGTTGCTATGATGTTTGATAATTTGTAGAGTTAAAGTTAGCTTTCCTAACAGAACTGAGATCTCACATCAGACATCATGATCATAGTCGCTGTGCATTGTCAAATTTGTAAAGATGCATCTCACTTTGTTTGGTGTTTGATTGCCTTTTTCTGTATGCAGGTTCCATCTTACATATCTCGATCTGTTGCTGGTAGCTACGACAATGAAGCCGTAGCTATATTTGCTTTGATATTCACTTTCTACCTCTACATAAAGGTCGAAATGTGTTTCGATAGTGTCTAAATTTTTGCAAGTAGTGTTCTTATATATTTTACTTCTTTCTCAGGGGTTATTGTTTGCAATTGGCATTTGGTACTCTAAAAATTCATCTATTGAAAGATCTCATTTTTGTTTTTCTTGCAGACCTTAAACACTGGATCGCTGTTCTATGCAACTCTAAATTCAATAGCCTACTTTTACATGGTATGATGATGGAAAAATTGTTTGTTTCCGGCATTTATAAGTCTGTTTATAAACCTCTCTTGACACTTTCTCAATTATTTACAAGGTTTGTTCTTGGGGAGGATACACCTTCATTATTAATCTCATCCCTATGCACGTGCTGCTATGCATTGTTACTGGCCGCTATTCTTCTCGACTGTACATAGCATATGCTCCACTTGTAAGTATCTTTTAGGCTGGTTACATTGTGATGATTGAAAGCTTTAATGTATCAAGACATTGAAGATGGGTATTTTATCCATTCAACTTCGCAGCTTGTTCTGGAGTCACATGTTCTCTAATATCTGAGCCACTTTTCTGTAGGTTGTTTTGGGAACGTTGTTGGCTGCTCTGGTCCCTGTTGTAGGCTTCAATGCTGTCATGACTTCAGAGCACTTTGCCTCATTCCTGGTTAGAGCAGTCACATTAGTTGATTTTCCTGCCATGTAAACTTAGGCTGGTCGATTCATTTTTAAGCATTGTCTTCATCGTCCCAAGGCCTATTTGAGATTTATTCCGGCCAGAATCAAATTAGGGTTTGCTGGCATAAGTTTCTACTCTATGTATGCTCCTGAAATTTGATGAGGTCAATTATGGTTGGCTAGTTCAACTTGCATATGATTTGGCTGGATGCTATAGATGTACTTTTCATGATCACGTAGCTACTAATTTCAGGATTCATGTTTCTGCCTTCTTGTGCAAATTCAATTGTGATAAGAGTGTCTATTGCATATCCATCCTTTCCACATGTAAGTAATATGATTTCTGAAGATCTGCCTACTGTAGCTTTAAGTTCCAAGAAAAGGCCCAGAGGAAGGGAACTCTTTTGTTTGATTCTGAACCATTGGCATTCACAGTGCGCACCTTTGAGAAGGCAGTAACATGGAATTCGTATAGTTGTCTAGTTTGATGATTCATTAGTATGGTTATGTTTGTATGCAATTTGATCACCTTATTAAACAGTTGTTGTCTTGATGCTGTCTCCTACATTTGAGTTTTCTAATATTACACTGCCTTGCTTGTATTATTTTGCAGGTTTTTATTATCATCCATGTTGTGGCTCTTGTTTCTTACATTAAGGGGATTCTTTCACCAAAAATGTTCAAAGTAGCTGTTACGCTTGTCATTTCGGTTGGTCTGTAAGTATTCTCGCATTTAGTTTCATTTGTCAATCCTGTTAGTAGTCTTGAATGGGGTTTTGGGGCATTTTAAAGGAACATTGAATCTCTATCTTTTTTGGTACTCAAAATTAGTTGGCATTGACCTTAGAGGAACAAAAAGTAATCTGCCTGATCTGTAGAATTCTGCAGAGAACTATGAGAGAATTCGCTGTATAAAACTCTCTTTAACATATCATTTGTAATTTGAAACTCAGGGTGATTTGCGTAGCTGTTCTGGCTGTCCTTATTGCATTGGTGGCTTCCAGCCCAACAAAGGGATGGAGTGGACGCAGTCTGAGTCTTCTTGATCCGTAAGCCTCTTTACATGATTTAGTCAGTTACACTGCTAAAATTTGTTGTTTTTTATTAGCATTAATGATGGAAACTTCACTGATCCTGAGCATGAATTTTTAAAACCACTGGTTTAGTAGAAGCATGTTTCCTTGTTTGTATTGACCTATAGTTCCCATCTCCTTTTGCCTCTTGTCTTGACTACAAAGCTAAATGCAGCTGTTTTTTATATTATATGATACTGCCAAAGCAAATGAAACTCTGGGATTTGGAGTGTCCTTTCACAAAATTCACAGGATCTAATAAGCATTCTATATTTCAACATCAAAGTTGTAATGCTCTTTGTAGTTACGCTCGTTAAATAATCTCTTAAGAATCAAAATGTTAATAGGAGAAAGCTGAATTTGATATGGCTTTCCAATACCTACAAAATCCATTCGACCTTGAAAATAGACGTTCACAGTATATGTGGCATCTTTCAACTTCTCTTTCTAAGTCCAAGGAGCAGAATTCTATGACAATGTGATTGCAAACTCATCTTTGCAGTTTGTGTTCTGATTACAGCCATTGTTTTAGGTTCAGATGAGGATAGTAAACTGTGTTTGTTATGGCCGTAGTAATTTATTTTTTAATTATAATAATCAGTATGTATCCTGTGGTAATTGTGGGTGTTATATTGACGGCCAACTGGAAAGAAAAGACGTGTATTTCTGTGTTTATGGATTTCAAACTTGCACCGGGCCTTGTTTTTGGTTCTCCACTTGATGAAGATCTCAGTTGTTGGATTGAACAAGAATAATACTACCTCATTCTTATGTTCTCTTCTTGCTAATCTAACAAGAACTTCTCTTCTTCTCTGGATTGTGGCAGAACTTATGCAAGTAAATATATTCCAATAATTGCGAGTGTCAGTGAGCATCAACCGCCTACTTGGCCTTCTTACTTCATGGACATCAATGTTTTGGCATTCTTGGTTCCAGCTGGCATTATTGTAAGCTGTTCATTCTCTGAGTTGGCAAGAATGTATAGTAGATAATACCGGATCTTTTGTCTCGTTAATCTGTCTCTCGGGCTGCCCTTTGTACCAATCCGTCTTTGTTGCCCTTGCAGGCGTGCTTTTTACCACTATCTGATGCCAGCTCCTTTGTGGTCCTTTACATAGTAACATCAGTGTATTTTTCAGGTGTCATGGTAAGTATACATTTAAAATTTCCCTGATTTAAACTTTATCAGCATTTTTTATTGTGTGGATAATTTTTGTTTGCTGAATTGCAGGTCCGACTAATGCTTGTTCTTGCTCCGGCAGCATGCATAATGTCTGGAATTGCTCTTTCAGGAGCTTTTGATGCTTTAACTGGTTCAATAAAATTTCAGTTGCTAGATACATCAGAAACTCCGTCATCCGATGTAAGCCAACTAAGCACAAGAAACTTCTTTCAATCATTCCTTTCTAAAAGCTTCTAACATGGTACTTAATTCGACTGTTAAATCTTAAGGCAGGGGATGCAACTTCTGAAGGCGTTGTCGTAGAAAACAATGGACCTAAGGCAGATAAAACTGAAGACACGTTGAAGGAACGGACTTCAAAGAAAAACAAGAAAAAAGAGAAGGAGAAGGAGAAGGAGAAGGAAACTTCTGAGGTTTCCTCTAGTAGATCTTCAAAACCCCGGGGAAAGAAAAGGCTTCTTCTGTTGCCTATAGAAGCTTCAGTTATTGCTACTTTCTTGCTGGTGTTATTGGTTGCCTTTTACGTGGTATGTATGGCTTATTTGCACCTAACATATTCATTACATTCATTGGATATGTTGATCGTCTATTGTTCATTACTGAATGTAATGCATTGTCTAGTTTGCATGGTAGCCTCATTGATCCTTACTTCAGCTTAGTGGTCACAACTTGCTTTTGGGCAACATGGAATCATTTTAATTCTTTGTGAGAGTCTAAATTTAAGCTGGGTTCTATCTTCTTGCACCACTCTTGGAGGCATCTTTCTATTTCTCTGGGTGGTGGCATTTATAGTTGAGAGACGTGCTATGTAGGTTCATTGTGTTTGGGCGGCAGCAGAAGCATATTCGGCACCCTCTATAGTCCTGACATCTCAGTCGCATGATGGTCTTCATGTCTTTGATGATTTCAGAGAGGCTTATGCATGGCTGAGCCATAATACGGAGGTTGATGACAAGGTATGTGTTGTAAGCTTTTAGACCATATTGTTATATATGGTAGTGCTTGGGTACAGCCATGTTCTCTTACGTCCTTGATATTTTGTCAGTTATACTTTGCTTTTGTTAAAGTAGTGTTTCCCTTGAGCTCTTATCTTTCCTCAATTTTTCTGTTTGAATGATTTTGTCCACTCCCTTTAAGTTAGTTTTTAAATCGTGTTAAGCCACACAACTTTTCATAAGTTTGGAAGGTTAAGTAGTTGTTTTATGAAATTTTTTCTCTTGCGTCGTATTTATGCTGTCAAATACCTTCTGCTCCTAGTGAATTTTCATTGATGTCCTTGAAATTTCCTGTTGTAGCCCATCATTTTCGGGTTTCGATATTCTGTGGATAATTCTGTATTTTAAAACAAGCATAAACCTCAATGCTCTGTCTGTCCTTTTTTTTCCGGGGTGTCGCTGAAGTGAATGTTGAAGCTTCTCAAGGAGCAAGAATTGACAATGAGTTGCTTATAGATAGTAATAGGCTGTTTATGATGTTCTCATGAGATTTAAAATAGGGGCTTCAAACTGCTGTCACATTGATAGATTGCACCATTTGCAACAATTCAAGTAAAATTAAATAAATCTCCTTGCTAAGGCAGCATTGTTTGCTTGAGATTATTTTAGTTTGCACAATATACCAATGAGGAAATATGACAAACCTGGACAATTTACCTTCATATATTTCTGGATTTTCACCCAGAAATGCAAATGTGTCAGAATTTTGTAAAGGAAGATCTCTAGTCATGACAGTTATGCAAACTTTTGGCAGGTGGCATCTTGGTGGGATTATGGTTACCAGACCACTGCAATGGCAAATCGCACGGTTATTGTTGACAATAACACTTGGAATAACACACATATTGCAACTGTCGGCACTGCCATGTCATCTCCAGAAAAGGCAGCTTGGGAAATTTTCAACTCTTTAGATGTAAAATATGTCCTTGTTGTCTTTGGAGGTTGGTTCAGTCAGATAATGCTGTTAGGGAAGCAAAACTTATCTTTAAGAATCTGCATGGACTCTTCTAACTTCTGCATCCATGTTTCAGGTCTCGTTGGCTACCCTAGTGATGATATCAATAAATTCCTGTGGATGGTTCGGATAGGAGGGGGTGTATTCCCTCACATCAAGGAACCAGATTATCTGGTGAGTATCTGATTCTAGCAATGCTTGGGTTTGTGTGAACATTTTTCAGGACAGAAGTCACAGTTTGCACGTAAATGGCATTATAAATTGTCATTTCATTCTGAATATAATGATTGTTAATCATAGTATTGGAAAGCTGTTTCGGTACATGTGAATGTAGAGCTTTAGTTTCACATTGAAAGACCTAAGGCTAGTTTTTTTGTCACTATGCTATTATGGAATAAATAGGAAATCTCTCTTATAGAAGTACTAAATTCATTTCTTTTGAACTTATATTATAAACAGTAATCCACTTGATGATGATGTTTGATTACTATGCTGAGTATGTTGATGTTGATTGATGTAACCGCTTACTGATGACAAATGTATTACCATTTTTTGACGGACCCTTCTTTTTTTCTTTTATAGCTATTTTGGGATGTATATCTTCTATCTTGGTGTTCATGAAATGTGCAATTTGTATGCATGTAAAGGATTTACAGTTTATTCTTATAGGAATTAAGGAATTACATTAACTTTAAAGTTTAAATATTGTCGAATCTTACTCTTTTGTTTTTCCTTTGTGGTTTCTACCTGGAAGAGAGAGGGTCAATATCGGATTGATTCTCAGGCCACACCAACCATGCTAAATTGTCTCATGTACAAGCTTTCATATTATAGGTCTGTTGTTTTTCTGGGGAAAACTGACATTTCATTTATAGGCCACTTTTTTGCATTTCTGGTAACAGCAAGTTATTTGTGTCTTGCGACAGATTTGTGGAGACTGACGGGAAAGCCTTTGATAGAGTAAGGCGCACTGAAATCGGAAAGAAATACTTCAAACTTACCCATTTTGAGGAGGTATGACTTTGAAAGTATTCATCTTCTTTGCGGGTATAATTGATAATAAATTTGCGTACAAAATGGCATTTTAATAACTAATGAAAATCCGTAATGACCAAAATATGCTATCAGTTTGATGCTTTTTTCTCCTGGTAGCATAGTGTGCTGAGTATTATATGTTCTGTCTGCTTTTGCGGAATCTAATTGGAGGAAATTTGAATTGGTTGGAACCTCTCATTTTTGCTTACTTTGCTTTTCTGGTTGGAATTATTTGTGAAAATGGTTTGGTCAATAGATATGTAGTGTAAGCACGAGACTTACATGAAATGCTGGTTATCCTATACTACTGAGAGATGGAAAATGTGAAATGCTGACTTACAAGCTTATCGATCATCGAAATAAGAACTTGTGTCAAACAACATTCCGTATAAAGCTCCATCGGAATGTTGCAGATCAAATGAGTTGGGAGGGAGACTAAATAAGAATATTGTTCCTCAGTTTGAACTGCATGTTATTATGCTTAAAGTTGGCCTTCTGCTACAATTTCTAGGTATTCACAACTCATCACTGGATGGTGCGTATATACAAACTGAAACCTCCAAGGAACAGGATCCGAGGAAAGACAAAGAAATCAAAAACAGTACGTATGCTGCAACTCGTTTCTTCTTATTTCCTTTTCCCTGATTATACCTTGACTTTGCAACGTCCTTCTTTTCCTCAGAAGTCTAGCTCAACAACCAGCTCAAAAAGTAGCAGAAAAGGAAAGAAGAATCCTTGGCATTAGAAGCATTATATGGCTACTAATCTCACGGCCTTCTGTTGTAACCCAGAAATAGTTGTTTTACTTGAGCATCTCTCCAGAGATTGTACGGCAGGTGTTCACCTACTTAGGATAGGAATGAGAGAAATGAAAGATTTTGTAGCGTCATTGTATCACATTACGGTAGAAGCGGTTTAACTTGGTCACTGGTGATCGATAAGAATTTTTCCTTTGCTTATAGTGAATGAAGAAAGAAGCAGATTTTAAAGCTATTGCAACTAGTTACGTTAACAGAAATCTTCTATCATACCCCATCCCGGCTATCATATAGGGGGAGGTCAGAATTTAAAAATGACTTCACTCAAAGTAAATGAATATATAGATTAACCGGTAATAACCCGTGAAGAGTGTCAATTAGCTATCCCCAGACTTTTTCTGTTCCCCAACCTAAACACTATCAATCAGGTCTATATATATGCCAGATCCTCCATAAATACACTGTACAACTACAAGATGAACATGTTGCAACTCTATGAAGTCAGTAAACGTCCACTACCTGTAAATATCCAACGAACTGCAAATGCTAGTATTTACCACTTAGCAAAGCCATGGCATCCAAGCTTTTATAGCTTCTTTGGAAGATGATAGTTCTTCTTTAAGAACTTCGAGGCTATCTCATCGCTCCGGTGGCACAAGACTCGAAGAACTGTATCCGGTTCAGTAGGACCCCATTGGCCTGAAGATGGAGGTAAAGGAAGCTTTGATTTATCTGAACCTCCATATCTGTCCAGAACCACCCGTTTGAATTGCTCAATAAGTTTTACTGTATCAATATGGAAGAGTGGAAGGACAGCCTTAACCGTGTTTGAATAGTTCTCTATCAGATCAATTGGTAATCCATCCCCCTCCGACCAGAATAGATCCATAAGCAACTTAAAATCTTGTTCAAAGACTGCTGCATCTAGCAGACTGAAACCACGGGAAGGGCCTCCAGCAAGCAACACCAACAAGAACCCATCAAAAGAAGCTCTCATTATTTGTGTTATTACACGTGTCCGGACTCTGTCATGAACTGTAGCCGATACGATTTCTAAATTTTGCTCCAGCTCTTGAAGAAATGGTTCAATCCTGGACGACAGAACATCACCTACATACAGGTAATCCCACAGAACATGACTCAGATCCTGAAAGACGATTCTATAAGCAGTTGCTTCAGAGAGTTGATGAATTCCCTCCACACAAGCTGCCGCTGAAAACTCAAACAGTTTTCCTGATTCAGTAGTTTGAATGACATCTTGAACATAGCCAGCATTTCTCAAATTTGAAGTTATCCTCTTTTCCAGGACTTCCAACTCCTTCCGAATGAGATGCATGGTATTTATGCGAACACATAATCTTGGAATATCGTAGGAATTATCCACTTCAGTAGTGTAAGCCTGAGATTTGCTTCCTTGTACCATAGATGACCTTTCTTTTTTCTTAAACATGCCGAACTTGGAACCAATATCACATCTTGTCAAAGGAGGGAGGATGGGAAGAAATTTATCTTTAGATCCTGCAGATCACACCATTAAATTAAAGTCCTGTAGTATATACTAAAGCAGAAAGAGCTTCTAAGCTAGATTCATTTACCACAGCCAGATTTTATCTTCACTATGTAATTCTGAAGGCATCTATCTAGACCATTCGTCAAATCTGGAATCAAAACTTGATGCATTGCTATCGGCAGCAGAAAGAATGCATCCAAAGTTTCATCAGTAACACGAAGAACTTCCACTGCAGACGGAGCAAATCGTTCTTTGTTTGCATGAGGGTTCCAGACCTGTAACATTAATTTCAAAATCATTAATCATGCAACTTCAGACCACAATAAATTTTATGTTTCCTGCAAAGAATCAAATCGTTCTTTGTTTGCATGAGGGTTACAGACCTGTAACATTAAAATCAAAATCATTAATCATGCAACTTCAGACCACAATAAATTTTATGTTTCTTGCAAAGAATTCACAGGACAACAGCAAATAATCTAGGAGATTAATTTCACATTTTAAATTTCCATCAAATAAAGAAAGCAATAGGATACGAGCTGGATGCTTTTCATGTCTGATTAAAAATGTTTAGCACCATATTAGAGATCTTTTACAGGAAACAGATGAAGTTTTAAGTACCTCTTGTTGGATGTTTCTATCCACCCATTCCTTCAATCTATCTACCCTTGTCTTTATCCATGATTTTACCAGGGTCCCTATGACAGATTCAGCTTCATAAGGGGTCATCTCTTGAATTAGTGCTTTCCCACCATCATCACTATCCACAGAATCTGCAACTGCCATCTTTACAAGATCTTTCTCTAACTTTTCAGAAGCTATCAAAACTTGTATAACATCAGGGGTCAACTCAGATATATTAGCAACAAATTTATTCAAATCTTTCCGGTAACAAGCATGAAGTGTTGCTGCTGCTACGCCAGTTGCTAGAGGGTGCCACTGCTTGAGTATAGGGCTGAAAATCTCTTGCTCAGTAAACGCCAAATCTGTAAGATTTTGGGCAAGAATGGAAAGCATGGGAAGATGTTGGCTTCTAGAACTGTGCCTATTCGAGATTATCTTCTCCTTTTCCTGTCTTCAAAGAAAGAAAAATAGATTGAGCCAGTTTCATGCAAAACAATCTTTTACGTATTTTAGGAAGTAGCAAATCCTAATGGAGCCAACTCAACCATTTTAAAAGACAAAAAAGGTGTCAATGAGCAAAATAAGACATTCAGCACTCTGGAAAAGAAAGTATTTTATATATATGTGTATATATATATATATATATATATATATATATATATATATATATATATAAAGAGGGAGTCTCAAGATGCTAAACTAAGACACTGAGCATGCTGCAACTATAATCATAGTTTCTTTTCTTTTTTTCATTTTTTTTTTTAGGAACTCATTGCATACACTATTAAAGGAATATCTACTTACTAGGAAATCACACCATGATCAAATGTAATACTCGACTTCCTACCAGCATTATTAAAGCTCAAAACCAAGGACTTGCCTGAGAAAAAGCATTCTTCAGAGATGACCGGATATATGAATCAACTAAACCACAAGTTATGTCAGATTCTGTTCTTTCATTATACTCTTGAGAACCAGCCTCTGCCAGTAATTTGGCAGCAGAGATGCCGAGTGATAAAACATTCTCCATAGTATCAATGTTTCCCCTGTAAAAACACTCATGATAAGCAAGAAGTCTTTCTTCCGCCCAACCGAAAATCACTGTCAAAATAGAAGTTAGAATCTTCCGGTAAGCTGGATCTCTAGTTTCCTTAGCATCATTTTCTACTTCATGCAACAGACTATTAGTGGCAAAAAGTAGGTCATTTCCAACCTGCCCAGTACATATATATCGACGGAACAAGACCCATGCAAGGCAAAGGTTATGTAAACTCTGGGTTACTCCAAGGACTACCCATGTCTTTTTAACAAGCTCCAAAACCTCATCAACTTCATCAATGACTGCAGTATCATCATTAGCGTCAAAACAACTTTCAAGAAGGATTTGGTATAGATATAAATTAAGTGGAACCCCATCTGCCCAATGGCAAGTCCCGGAGCCAGAACCATCAAATGATCTGCCGGAAAGGGACATCACAACATTGCGAAGGGCGTTCATTGACTGACTTTGCTTTCCTGTATCCATTGGTTTTTCAGAAGCCCCCCGAAGAATCTGGCGAAGCTGTTTCACGGAGTTGTCAGTCTTATCCAAAGGAAAATAGGGATGCAAGAGCAAACCAGCCTCGAGAACTTTCAGGTTTCTCTTCTGCCATGCCTCATATTCAGACTGACTTGAAAAATCTGAAGACCTCAATGTTTGTAATAGTTCGATCGGTAAAACCATCGTCTCGATTTTTCTCCCCAGCTGATCAAAACAACCAACACAGCATTTTATGCATCTGCGGAACTATTTATTTTGATGATCTAAAGTAAAAGTAGGAGGCTGATACAATGGAGTTCACTAGAATGAACATATTAGCTAACGGAATTCCAAAACAAAGCTTTCATTGCCTATCCTGATCAGAAAACAAGAGGGGGCTACTACTTTTACACTTATTAAATTTCATTCAACTAGGAAAGATGGACGGTATAGATCAGCTAGGCAGAAGATTGAAATGCAACACGTCAAACACAAAAACCCAGAAGTCAAGAAGGATTCTTCATAATCTTCGAATTTGAACTTCATGAATTAGTTGGTACAACAATGCTAAATGCAGAGAAATTGGAGTAATCGGAAGGTTCCAATTTTCAAAGTTTGTACTTACTAAAATGCCAACTGCCAAGCATGTATTTGAAAAAGAAATTTCAATTCTTTTGACAGATTACTCCCAGAATGATTTGTTAAAGAGTAATGAAAGAACACAAAAAGGAATAAACAGTGAAGCACTGACCTGTCCAGCAGCTACTCTCAACAGAGCTCTTCTGACCCTGGAATCAGTCTGCTCCGAGACCTTCATCTGGACCCTCATCAACTCCCCCACCGTCGATGACCTCTTCTTCTGACTCCCCGCCTCTCGTCCTCCGCCGTCAGCTTCCTCCGATTCCACCCCAGAAACTTTCCTCCTCGACGACTTCAAACCCAGTGCCTTCTTAACCTTGCTCGCCGCCACCGACGTCACAGACCTCTGTAACGAAGGCGACATGGACAGGGACCTCTCAGTAGTCCGCATGGAGTTAGAAACATAAGTCAAAGGCCGGGATGCACCTGAACTCCGGCAAGCTCCGATGAGGATCTCGTAGGCCGTTTCCCGGAGTTCTGACTCACTGAAGTGAAGACCCAGTTGGCCAAATGGATTGGGAAGATCGCCGCCATCCAATTGGGGCATCTTGGAAGTGGAATTCCCGTTGAATTGCTGAACCAATTTACTGCCAGGCTGAGTAGAACCGTCGTCGGCTCTGTTCCGGATCATGTGTGTTCTGTTCTGGGCCGACTTTGTTGTACTAGCTGGTGCTGCATCCCTGTAATTAGTACCATTATTACCAGCATAAGACAGCACATCCATCTTAATAATTATATAAATTGAAGTTGATTCCTTTATTCCGTTTCACCAATATTTTTCTGCTAGTCTTCTCTGGGCATCACTCTGTTTAAGCATAAAATAATTGAAAAAGACTTGATTTTTCACAGAAATTGAGGCTTGATGAAAGGAGAAGGCAATAGAATAACACAAGAACAACTTTTGTGCTGGCTTTTTAATGTTGGGTCTTGAAAAAGGGCAAGAAAGAGAGCTAAACAAAATAAAATTATGGTATCCTACACTGTATGATTTATTTTTTATTCTTGCTTGACTTTAAAGGAATGTGAGATGGAATGGTGGGGGAGGCTCTTTTGTTTCTGGATTTGGATGCTCTAAAGTTTAATTTAAAGGGGATGAGATGAAGAAGGTAGAAGGGAGGTATCGAAGTGGAAAAAGCTAGCTCAACTCGAAATTGATTTTGGAAGAATTAATTAAAGCCAAAAAATTCAGTACATTTGGGAAAGGAAAGGGATAGTGATGGTGGTTTTTTGAGGTGTTTTGACAGAGTAAACGCAAACGATTTGATTTGAAGAATTGGTCGGCGCGGAGACCGCTGTAGTGTTTCACTGTTGGCATGATTTTCTGCTCCGTTCATTTATAGCAATTGGAAATTTTATTTTTGGTGCCAAGAAAAATCAGGCAATCGCCCCCAATTTAAATGTTTTAGTTACATTTCGGAAATGAATCACCTTATGGAAACACACAACTTTTGACTAAAACGATCATCACTCAAAAGAAGTCTATTGAGTTTAATTGAAATGAGTAATATGTTTAAAAGGTACTTTACATTTACCTAAAAACTTAATTTGGTTTTTTATATTAAAAATTCACTTATTTGGTTTTTTACATTTGTCTTTTCAACTAATTTGGTCCTTTTTATCTTTTTTGGTCCTTTACATTTGTGGGTTCTTGGACTGACCAATTTTTTGTTAACTCAATAGGGGCATTTTCGGTAACTTATAAATATCATATTTTTGAAATATGTTAAAAACAAAAAATATATTAAAATAATACTAAACATATAATATTAATTTATAATTCATTATTAAAAGAGAAAAAAATAAAAAATTCAAATTCAAATATAATAATATTAAAAAATTTAAAAATTGAAAAATAAAAAAAAATCAAAATCTGATTTTTTTAACCGCAGGCCCTAATCGAAACTTTTTTTTACCCAATTTTTATCCACCACCACCGGACCTCCTCCACCACCGCCGGACCGTCCATTGCCGCCATCGGGCCGTCGCCGGCCGTCAGTCGACTAGGAATACCATGTTCGAAACTGGGGCAACACCATCAACACTCGTAGCAACCCATATCCTTCTCATCAAGTCTCGAGAATATGGCTTGCTAGGGGCACTTGACGAGTCATAAATTAACCCTAGGCCTATTGGGCCTAGGATTAGCTTACTTGGAGATTAAGCTACCACCTAAACCTATTCCGTTAGAGTTTCAGGAAACAGGTAACACCACCTCTATATAAAGAGGTGCCTCTCCCATAATTGATATCTTCTCTATCTTCTACCTATCTTCTACACCTCCTACGCACAATACATACAACTCTCTCTATTTTCTTTATTCTCTTATTGACTTAGTATCAGAGACCGTAGGACACTCCCATATCCTAACCCATATCCGTAAGAGGAAAAAGTACTCGGGGGCACAAACAGGAACATACCCTTGGGGCAAAGAATTTGAAGGATCATCCTAACCCATATCTTTCTCATCAAATCTCGAGAATATGACTTGCTAGGAACACTTGACGAGTCATAAATTAACCCTAGGCTTAGTCAGAAATTGCTAGAACTCAAACAAGCTCCTAGAGCCTGGTTTCACCGTCTTAGTCAGAAACTTCATACTCTTGGTTTAATTTCCTCTAAATCTGACACTTCTCTTTTTATCTTGTCTAAGTCCTCACACACTACTTTTGTCCTAGTTTATGTGGATGACATCTTGGTGACTGGTTCCTCTTCTTCCTTCATTCAATCTCATTGATGAGCTCCATTCTACCTTCACCATCAAAGATCTTGATTCTCTTCATTATTTTCTGGGTATTGAAGCTCAATCTACATCCACCGGCCTTCTTCTTTCTCAATCTAAGTATATTCAAGATCTCCTCACTCGCACTCACTTCGACACATCCAAACCCGTCTCTACCCCCATAACCCCCACCTTACCTCTCTCTAAAAATCATGGTGTACCTTTATCTGACCCTACAGAGTATCGACGTACTGTTGGTGCTCTTCAATATCTTTGTGTCACTCGTCCCGATATCCAATTTCTTTGTTAATAAAGTGTCTCAATTCCTCCATTGTCCCACCGATATTCATTGGTCTCTGTTAGCGTATACTTCGTTACCTACGTTCTATCCCTACCCATGGCCTACATCTTACAAAGAGTTCCCCTCTTTCAATTCTTGCTTTTTTGATCTGATTGGGCTGGTTGCCACGATGACCGCCGCTCCACTTCCGGCTATTGCATTTTTTGGGTTCTAATCTCATCTCTTGGATTGCTAAGAAACAACCGACCGTTGCTCGTTCAAGTACCGGTGAGTATCACGATCTTGCTCTTCTTTGCAGACTGAATTATGTTGGCTTTCTTCTCTCCTCCGTGAGCTTGGTTTATCTTCATTACCTCCTACTCTTTGGTGTGATAATTTAGGAGCTATTTACCTTGCTGCTGATCCAGTATCTCATGCACGCACCAAACATATTGAGATTGACATTCACTTTGTTCGAGATTTGGTTCGTCAAAAAGCTCTTACTATTGAGCATGTTCCATCCGCTGCCCAAATTGCTGATATTATGACCAAAGCTCTGCCTACGAAAACTTTTCTTCAACTTCGGGACAAGCTCATTGTTGTTCCGCCATGAGCTTGCGGGGGGCTGATAAGATTAGTCAAAGATCTCATTAGTTAGGATTATTTAGATTCTATTTGTTTAGATTATTTCAGATTTTATAATATCTAGATCTTAACTAATGTTGATGTATGCCTATAAATAGAGACAATGTAATGTACTGCAGCACACAATACAATTTATGATTTCATCTTCTTTCATGAATTTATTTCTCATCAAATCTAGTAAAGAAGATTGTTTAACTAGATGAATTTTGGTTTGATCATTTTTTTTTTGGGAAAACTTACGAAAGAGATCATAATTTGCAAATTAGATTTTGCAAGATATCTTTTGATAAATGTTGAAAAAGTGAATAAAAATTTGTAAATTGAATTTTGCAAGCCATGTTTTAGGAAAAGATACAAAAGAGATCATACCTTGCAAATTGGATTTTGCAAGCCATGTTTTGGAAAAACTTACAAAAGGGAGCATACCTTGCAAATTAGATTTTCCAAACCATGTATTGGATAAAGGAAATGGTTCCAAAACACATTTTTTTAAAGAAAAAAAAACAAATATGTTAGTTTTGAATTCTAATATGACTTGCATAATAGTAATAGAAAAAATACTTACATGTTTTGAAGATTTGAGGAAACTAAGTATATGTAACTTATAAATTAGATTTTGCAAAATATGTTTTTGGATAATTCAAAAAAGTTAACTCAACTTGCAGATCTATTTTTACAAATCATGTTTTAGGAATTTCAAATACTTAACAACTTCCAAATAAATTAGAAGCCATGTATATAAGTAAATATAGTAAAAAGTGTACTTCATAAAAATATAAAAGAATTAATAGTAATTGTAAAAATGACATATCATATGAACAAAATTTGCTATTGTCTAGCAAACCATGTATTGCGATAGGGTTAAGGTTTAGTTAAAAAAAAAAGTGAACATAACCTGCAAATTAGATTTTATAATCCACTTTTTTTTTTTGGAGAATTTACACAATATAAACATAACTTACAAATCATATTTTGCAATCCATGTTTTGAGATAATTTACATTTGTGAACATAACCTGCAATTTAGATTTTGCAAACCATGTTTTGGGAGAATTTAAACAATTGATATAAACATAATTTATAAATTATATTTTAAAATTCATGTTTTGAGATAATTTACACAATTGAACATAACTTGAAAATTAGCTTTTGCAAGCCATGTTTTGAGAAAATTCACACAATATAAACAAAAGAATTAGTGGTCACGCCGATGGCATTCGGTGGCCATTTTTATCACCTTCAACCAAGACAAAAAAAATTATTTTAAAAGAAAAATTGAAATAGAGAGGGCGCAAAAAAAATAGTAAATTTCAAAGCACATAATTCTTAACCTATATTAAGCAAAGAATGAGAAGATTAATATTGTGGATGGGTTTATATAGGGGGGTTGGAGTTTAAATAGTAATCCTAACACGTTTACTTTAAAACAATCAATAAATGCATAATTAATAATTTTTAATCTTTTCTTTTTTTTTTAATAAATCGAATATGTAAGGAAAAAGCGTCCACATTCAATCATAATATCATTTACTAATTATTTTGAAATTGATTATAAAAAATCTTCTAAATCTCGTTTAAATCAAAGTATAAATGAACAATAATTTGTGATACTTTTTTAATTTATTTAAGTCGAATAACCGTGGATAAAACGTCCACATTCAAGCATAATTATCAATTTCAAATCATTTCAAATGAAACTTCCATGTCATGGTCAAATAATTGAATAAACGATCACTAATTTACGATTCTTTCCTTAAGTAATCAAAATTCATCCATATATTGCGAATTTATGTTTAACAATTAATACGTCGAATATTTGTATACTAAAAACTTTTGGCGGGAAACGGGTTAGCAGGAGCTTGACACATGTACTTTTTTTTCTACAAACTTATTTTGCTTTAATACAATATATAGATTCATGCCACATAGGATTTAATCCTATGTGGCAAATTTAGAGAAATTTCAAATTTAAAATACAACAACAACATCAACATACCTAATATATTCCCAACTCGGTTGGGGTCTGAGGGGTCAAGATGTACGCAGCCTTACCCCTGTATTTCAATACAGAAAGGTTGTTTAAGTAGTACAACCCAAGATGCATTGGTGCATTGATACATTGATTTCCGGCAACTTCACCAAATTAAGAAGCGTTGGAATTTAAATGAGCCATTTTGAAAATTTCAAATTTAAAATAAAAAAAAAGAATTACTAACTATTAATAAAAAAATCTCAACAAACTTCAAATCTGCATGCACCGCTATCATTTTTACTAGATATTCAATCTATATATGATATCATTAAACAATGTATTTGAGATTAAATGGCAGGAAAAAACTTTTTCAATGGTATTTTTGTTATATAAAAAAACCACCACTATTACCTTTTAAATTAAAATATTTGAAATTAGGCAGAGTTAAATCAAAAGGAGTATAATCCTCTTGGATATATATGTCTACCCTATGGGTATACCCCTTGTGTGCATTATACCATTTGGCACTGGATGGCTTAAAACATACATTTTGGGTATACCTCTTGAGTTTTTTTTGGGTCAGCTGGAACCTGAGTATAATCCTTAGAGCAAAATTGATAGTTTCTTTTTTTGTTAGTTAACAAGAAAATTGATAACCTGAGAATTAATCTTTTACAAAAAAAAATCTACAATTAGTAAAAATAGTGTAAGAAGGATTAAATGAGGAAAAAAAGGTTGG